AAGAGAGGGACTCGCTTGACTAGCAAACACAAGGAAAACGGAAGGCTACACTCAAGATGGATTCCGGATATCGATGACGGAACAAATAATAAAAACTATTAGAAAAATGTAAGTTATTACACAAATTAAAAAGTAACAGAAAATTCACTTCTGGTCTCTGGGCCACTGTATTCAGAATAGGAGAAAAAATTACGTACAAATAATATTTGTATCTATATCTATCTATACTTCTATACTAATATAATAAAGCGTAAACACACACTTCTTTGTTACGTAGGATGTCGTCAATCACAGGATATTTCTAATTTCTAAGATAATTCTTAATTTTAATAAAAAGCTCTACTCTTTCGTCAATCTATAGGCAACTACTTTCACGCTGTTTAATTTAGGGGTAAGAAAATTGGATTAGCATCATGCGGGAAAGGAACAAAAATTACCTATAGCAGCAAAAAAGCAAAATTGCCATGGTAAGGGAAATTGTTAACCAATGGCAAAGGACTTCCTCTTCATTTGTTCATAAAAAAACATAAAAAACATAAAAAAATACATTTGCAATTAAAGAAAGTTATCCTAATGCAAACAACAAAATAAAATTTTTACAATTTCATGCGAATAAAGCTAGTGTGAGAGAGATACCTTAATACATTTTTTTTATCAAAAACCAAAAGATTTCAGTCCGCAATAGTTGGGCTACGTCTGCTACCATCTGGCAGTAGCCGAGCTATTATTTTATCAGTAGCAGATGCTGCTGCAAATAAAATAATCGATAGGATAACTTTTACGGAAATGTTAATATTTTTAATGGTTTTTGTGCTTAATTGCGAAAGTTGGTTTAATAGTATTTATGGAACATATAACGGAATGAAAATATTTAATAAAAAATAAAGTTCAATGTATCCGTACGGTTTTTCAAAAATCATTTCAGTAGTTTTGCCCATTTGCCCGATTAACCTGTGTTTAGATGTAAACACCGCAAAAGTTTACGTGTTCTGTCAAAATGCAACTGTCAATTTGACATTTGTCTGTCATTTATATTTTATCACCATGTTCTTGTGTGAAGTCGCTGTAGGAATAGACCAAGAGTTCAGATGATAATGAAAATTTCAAAGGATATGTTATATTTATTCATCATTGCTTTGTTGTAGTTACTGTGAGGAACAAAGATGTTATGGAGGACAAGTCCCTATCATCTAAAACGACGCCTACATGGCAAAACTGCGTCCACTGTCCGAGCTTGCTGTTTAGCAGCGCTTTGGAATTTGAAAGGTTTCTATCCAACATACCTGCACTTTATTTGTTTTCAGTGTACTATTTGGTTTTTTAATAATATTTTATTTTACAGGCATGTTAAGGACAAGCATAGCTTAAAGGAGGGATCAATTATACTATGTCAATATGGACAAAACGGTATATGCTCCGCTCTACAGTTTGGTGACTTACGAAAAGCTGGTTTTAAATACCATGTGAGGGAATATCATCTGTATGCTAAAGGCAATTCAGAAGATTGGACATTTTATTCATCATCACAAAATCTTCCAGCTGTGTTAAATGATCCTAATAAGGGTAAACAAAGTAATTTTTTTACTAAAACATGGGGTGACAGTTTCGTTGAAAAAATCGAAATTCACCCTAGCCCATACTTACCAGATATAGGTTTATCACATTTTGAGTCATATTGTAAAAAAATTTCAAGAAGGTATCGAAGACACTGTCAATTAAAGGAAGCCCCACCTGTCAAAAGTAAGCTCAAGGTTACTGTAGCCGAAGAAAATATCTGTGAAGTACCAAACATATTTTATTCACAAACATTACCTTTAAATGATCCACAAATATTTAGTCAAGTTTTTCCAGGTCTTTCAAAGTCATCAGACTCTAGCTCTGCAATTAGATCTCTTCAGGAAACATTGAGTACTTACTTGGATGTCATAGAGATGAAAATATCAAAACAAGTTGCCCAAAAGTCTGATGCATTTTTTCATGCTATGCTTTCACATGATACTATCATGGAACAGATGGCAAAAGCAGTTAAAACAGTGCAGAATACTAGGTGCAATATTACAACCGTCAAAAATAACTTAACACAATGTCCCCTGCAATTGATAAGCTTTACAAGAATTAATAATAACTTAAATAATGTGCATGAGTTATTAAAACTAATAGGAACAGTTCAGCAAACACAACCCATGATACAACTGTTACTTAGTACATCAGACTATGTAGCCGCTCTAGATTTAATAAGTTCTACGCAAAAAGTCTTATCAACTCGCCTTTCAGGCATACAAGCTTTCCGTCATCTTTCCCCACAACTGACTGAAATGAGAAGATTGATACATAAAATGTTGAGTAATGAATTTCTAAGATTTGTTGTGACTGATTTAAATAGACCACTTATAGATCATACTGATTTACCAGACAGGGACAAAATAGTTTCCATAGTATCTGGTATACTTCGCCTCAAGGAATTTGATTTCCTCGATATCTTTAAAGCTGAAGCAATGACATCAATTCAAGCAACTATTAAACAATGTGTCATAGAAATAATCTCTGAAAGGGATGGGAACAATGAAATAGTACTGAGAGGCTCTCAGTCTGATAACACTTGGCTTATGTGCAATGAAGGTATTGTTTTTCTACAAAAAGTTACACCAAACTTGGTTATCATTTTTAAAAGAATTTTGTGTTTGAGCAGCTTAATTTTAGATATCAGTCAGATGGATGATGTAACTGGCAATGAGAGTGAAGAAATGTGGACACAAGAGGAGATAGCGTCTATAAGCGATAAGATTAAGAAGATGATAGGTTCCCTCTCAGATTACTGCAATGAAAGATGTGCCAATCTTATAGTGACCAAGACTGATAAGGATTATATATTTTCAGATCTTACACAGTTGGCTAAATTAACAGAATTAATAGACACTTTTTCTAATGAGTGTGAAAAAATAACTGGACATTACAGCAACACAATGAAGTTGGCATTAAGAAGTGTTGCAATGAAATATATACAGAGTCTGCATACAGAACGTAGGATGCAGCTCACCAATACTTTAAATGCTGAGAGATGGAAAATAGCTGATGTTCCCTATGAATTGCAAAGTGTTGTTCATAAAATTTGTGAATTTGGTAAAATACCACATACACTTCAATATGAAAGTGGAAAACCAGATGGAAAGTACTTAGTTATCAATAAAGAAAACTATGCAGTTGTGGCTACAGTTCAACTTCTAATTAAGATTCTACTAGAGTATTGTGATGCTACAAAGCAATCTCCAGACATAGTACAATATTTAGTGCATTGTATGTTAGAACTTATAAGATTATTTAATTCCCGCTGTTGTCTGCTGGTTTTAGGAGCTGGAGCAATACAAAGTGCAGGACTAAAAACAATTTCCACATCAAATCTAGCTCTTGTGTCGCGATCATTGCAAGTTGTTTTATGGCTTTTGCCTCTGATATTAGATTTGCTAGACAAGTTACATTCTAAAGAATTAACATTAAATGGTTTTACCAATATAGAAAATGATCTAGTTAGCCATAAACAAGAAATAGAGAATAAAATTTGCATTATAGTTAGTACAATGCTCAGTTCACAACTGACCAGTTGGGATGCAAAACCTCCAGTTCCTTCTCAGACATTCCGGAATATATCAAAGCACTTGGTGAAATTGCATGAAGCACTTATTGATATCCTGCCCATAGAACAAATAAGGTCCATTTATATGAAAGTACATGATAATTTCAAAGACAAATTAAGAGAACAATTAGTCAAAATGAACATAGTAGCCAATGGTAGTCCTCAGCATGGGGTGGTCACCTCTGAGCTAACATTTTATCTTCAAACTCTGAAAACTCTTAGGATAATAAATGAAAATGATACTGAAGATAACATACTGTATGATATCTGGTTGAATTAAAATATATGTACATAGTGGATTAAAGGTTATTGTATGTGTAAAAATGTAGTAAGAAGTCATCGTAAAGTATTTTACTAGCAAATAAAGAAGTTTGACTTCTAGTCATGTCATAATGAACTAATTATTTGTACGGCCTTTTATACTTTCACATTGTAGGTTGGTGGCAACTTTTTATATTTTTTTTTTTACATTAATGCAAAGTAATAGCAAATTTAAATAACAATAACTTATACTTGATTTTATCAGAGATACTTTTTGTTTTAACAATTATGTTAATTTTTATATTACATTAGTCATTAAATAATAATAATTTGGAAATAACCTGGTAATTCTAAATTAGGGAAAATGAAAGGTTTAATTAAGATAATGGCTGGCATTGAAACTTTCATTTATAATGTGTGAAACCAAAGTTACTTCTTAATACTGCAGTTTAAAGTATTTTTACCCACCTGTTTTTCATTATCCTCAGTTGCTATTGCTATTTTGATGAAAATAATAGATGTGGGGAATATTTGTTATGAGACAGGTGTTGTACATTCCATTATTTTCACTTGTAATATTTTGTTATAGCTTTTAGTGTGGTGCTTAGAATCTCTACTTTTGTCATTGAAAAATAATAGTGGACACGAAATTACAATCAATTGTTTGATTGTCAAAACGAAACGGAATATTAGTTTAGGAATATATGGAGATTGCATGAAGTAAGGTGATGACAATTGTAACTGCAGAACTGTCTTGTAATAATCAGGGGATTTGCAATCTAAAATAAACATATGTGTGATATATAACAAGTGAATAGAGCTTCAACTTGCTAACGATTCACACGCAGGCAGAACTTAGGAAGAAGGTGTTTGGATGGTAGGTAGTAAAGGTCTTATTTGTTTAAAAATGGCTACATTTATATATATATCAATTTTTAAAGCATTCATATCTTTTATTTGTTAGAGGTAAAAAAAAACATGGTTGATTAAAATTCAAACCTTAACATTAAATTATTACCAAGTTATGATTTTCATGGAATTGTTAATTTGCATGAACTATTTTTTATTATGTTGTCACGTAAAACCTTTAAAACCAGATAAAAATAATCAATGAATGTTTATTACGAATACGTATTTAACATGTATGTAGCATAAATATTGTGTATGCTACAAAATGGTGCTTTTAAATTTGTGTCATCTTTGTATCGTCATGGCTAAAAATGTTGAGATAAAAAAATAAGTAAACATCGCATTACCTTTTAAATACATGCTGATATTGTAAAGTGTCCGATAATGTAATACAACTGTGTGATATAATTTAAATAAACAATTTGTTTTATAGAAGTAAGTTTAAATTATGTTTGATATATTCGATATGTAATGTTCGTAAATTCTTCATTAAATAAGTCAAAGATGGTTTTGATTTTTTACAACTATTTCATCTTTTAAAACAGGTATGATTTGTTGAACTTGTTGACATTAGAAAGTATTAAACTTTTCATATCTTGCTCATGGCGTTTCGCATAGGTGCTGATTCGCTTTCGCGTCAGTGTGTTACAGGCCTGAGGCTTAGGTGGAATAAAAAATAAATGGTAATTATTAATGTTGATATTTTTTATTGAAAAAATATTATGTAGATTCACAATTTCTTACATTGTTATCTCTAAAATGCCACATTTAAACAACACAACAACATAAACGAATTGGAAACGGGTAACATCTTGTCTTTGTTATCAAATAATTAAAAAATTATTGAAAATTGACATTCACAGCCAAACTTAGGCGTAGATATAAAAAATATATTTGAGGTGTATATGGCTGCTCAGCAACAAAGGTAAATGACCAAAACAAAAGATATAGATATTAGATATTCAGTATGTAATTTAAACTTTGCCAAAATATTTATTTAAAAAAAACGACTTATAAAATAACAAGTGAAAACAATAGCTTAATTTATTAAAATATAGTCTATGGAATAAAGTAGAATATTAACATATAAAAGATCATAACTTTGTGTCATAAAAATATGATGCCATTGGATATCTTATAAGAAAGGCAACACATGTACAGACTGTTTGAAACATCAACAAGCTAACAGTTAGCCTAAGTTCTGACATTGGACCTAATTTTATAAGAAACAAATTTATTAATGTCATATTATTGATTGTTATACTAATTTCATCTTCAACCTTATCAATTAGATGTAGGAAACTTAACACATTTATTATTAATTTACTTAATGCATTTAAATCTTTCTTATCAATTAATGTTTTGCTTGCCTGTAGCAGATCTGTCTCCCCGCTGTATTTAGGTAATCTATGCCTTGGACATGGAATGATATGGAATAACTGAGGCACTGAATATACAAAATTAATAATTTGAGGCAAGAAAAATAGTAAAACTGTTTTACTGAAGTGGCTCAGAATACCAACCACAGCAAATGTCATTCCTGATACATAGCAGAAGGTATCCCCAACAAAAACTTTTGATGGGTACCTGAAAAACAGAATAAATGGTTTCATTAGAAACTTTAAAGGTAATAAATTAATCTTACACATATTGTATTTCATGTTGTAAAGCAACAATTATTAGTAAAAACTATAATAATAGGGCACTTAACAACTCCTCAGAAAAGTTGAATTTATATCAAAATCACTATCCTGCTAGTATGAGAATTTTTCCATAATGACCCCTTTAAAAATAAAGTTGCATGAATACAAATTTATTAAAAAAAAAGCTTACCAATTATGCTTTAGTAATGCCATTGTAGTAGCTAAATATGGTATCATTATATGCAGTGAGAAGCTGTGAGCCTTATATTGATCTCCTTGAAGTTCTATTATGTTAAAAGCTATAATGGACATAGCTATTACAACCGACTGGCCAACTTCTAGACCATTAACACCTGCAAGAATGTTGATGGCATTTGTACAAAACACTGCCAACATTCCCATATACACATAGTAGAGGAAACCTGAAAAATTACACAACAGTGCTTATTAAATAATACAAGATATATTTATATAAGTTTATTCATAGATGATATTTGGTAGGTCCTTCCATTTTCTTTATAATAGCAAAGGCAAGACACTTACCAATATTTACAGATAGTCCAAAGAATTGTCTTAAAGGTATTGGCACAACAAATGTTGTGGAATTGAAGTTAACATAATAGACAACAAGAAGAGGTAATGATGCAACTGTTGGTAATATCAGTTTGTATCGCCATCTTAAATCCAAAACATCATCAGCAAATCCCAGCAGTAGCATACAACATATCGAGAGTAATGCTGCTAATAATTCTGCAAACTGGAAATAAAACAACATTAAAAATATTGTTAATTATGTGTGGGAAGTTTAATACAAGTGCTTGGCAAGCTGCAAATTGTTTTATCAAGATCTTTTCTTGTAAACAATCATTAAATATTTTTCGAATAATTGAAATGTTACTGTAATTTAATTGACATAAACAAAATAACATTACAAGTAAGAAATAATTACTTCATTGTGCGGGAAATGCTCCCTGTCCATTAGACTATGTCCAAATACGATAGGTATGAATAGAAAACTTGTGACCAAGAAAACACATCCTGAAACAACACCAACCGCTTCTGGGCTAAAATCAAATTTGATTATTGAAAAATAGAATTTATAAGTTATTATAAATATTACAAATTATAAGTAACATACATTTTATCCTTACTATTTTTACATAAGTCGATTCCATAAATACCAGCCTTAATAAATAATTCTTTCAGTTTTGGTATAAGTTCATCAGTAAAGAGATATGATAGAATTGATAACACTATCAATATTATAAGCGAAAACATTTTGTTAGATGGGATTACTTGGTAGTATTTTATTGTTGTATAGCCTTTACTTATTTAATAAGTCATCATATTTGTCATATTTACTTATTATAATTCAATTATTATTAGCAATAACACGAAACCAAAACAATCTCAAGAAGACAAGAGAAAATTGTAATATTCTAAAACGTCAAACGTCAAACATAAATGACAAAAGTCAAATCAAATCTCAGGAACAAGATTATACGTATGAATGGTATAAAAAGGAAATATTTTTGAATAATTGATTGAAAATATGTGTTGTAAAATAAAAAAGAAGTTAATGAAAAAATAGCAGAGTGGAATAGGTACATTGACTTTTTTTCATTTTGGATTACAATCCATTGTTTTAGACTTTATTTTGAATCTACACCAATTTTAAATATCTTGATAGTTTGATAAATCAGCTGGATTAAATTGTCATTGTCAATGTCATTAAATTCTTAAGAATATTAAAGTTATCAAAAGATAAATAAACAGGTACAAAACATAATATTACTTAATTTTGTCATTTATAAGAAAAAGTAAAAGTTTTATTCTAATTAATTAATATGTATTAGGTGACGCACAGAAGATCTTTCACATGAAAGTATAATTGTAGAAAAAGGGGTGGCTTTTCTACTTATATATATTTCTTATATACATCTTATCACTATAAATACAATGAGTACGTTAGATGAGATTGAAGAGGAAGCGAAAGCAGCTGCTGAAAAAATGGTCATGAACATGATGCAAAGACCTGGCCAACTAGAAAAAGTTTGTATATCTGTAATTATTAACTATTTAGATCCACATTTTGAAATTAAATATAAATTACAATGAACAAAGCAAATAATAATTTGTGTAGGTAGAGCAATACAAAAAGAGAATAACACACAAGAAAGCATCAATAGAAGCTCAACTTAAATCAGCAGTTCAAGGCAAATTGGATGGAGTGAGTGTTGGCCTCGAACAACTACAGGAATGTCTTGATGATGTCCAACAGATCAGTTTAAAGTATGCAATTTTTATTTACTTATTTGTGCTAAGCTTATTTCAAGTTTGGTTTAATTATTAAACATATCACACTATACACTATTAAAAATTACTCTATGCTTAAGTTAATAATATTAATACATTCTTTCTTAACCTCTTAGGCTACAAGGGTTAGTTTAGAGGTTTAGCCAAATTACTTTGTTAAAAAAAATAAAATTTTCAGAATGGATGAACTTGAGGAGCTTTTTAAAAGTGTTCCGCCACTTGTGGCATCACTCCAAGCAGTTAGAGAAGAGGATTCTCGCCATTCGCAGTATGTGACTGCTATGGACAGCCTGAAGCATATATTCACTGTTCCCGAAAGTGTGGCCAAAACTAAACAGTGGATTGGTGAAGGAAAGTTATTGCATGCTCATCAGGTGACTTGATAAATTCACTATGCTTAACTTGTTTTGTAACATGCATTGATTTAGCAATTCAGTTGGTTGCAATCTCTCTTTGTCATTTTCTGTCTCAGATTTATTTCTTTGGAAGTTCAATGACATTCTGCCCTTCCATTATTTTCTTGTACTTGTGATAAAAAGATTTAATTACATAGTACAAAGTAATAGTAAAGGTATTTGCTACATGACATATATTATTTACATTTTATTTCTAGTGCCTCACTGACTTGGAAAACTCAAGAGATGATTTATTATATGAACTACATAGATTACCAAACCAATCTTCACATGACAAGATAATGTTGAAGGCATATTTTGAAGATGTAGAAATGGTATCTAATCTGCTAGAAAAACAAATCAAGTTGATTTTAGCAAGAACTTTAAACACAGTGCGTAAAGAACCCACTGTTATTGTGACAGCACTAAGAATTATAGAGAGAGAAGAGAAAAAAGATCAAATGGCTTTACAGGTACTTTTGATTTTTTCCTAATATTTGTTACAAAATATACATTATAAAGTGTTCTTTTTATATAATTAACATGGCATTTTTGTGAATCTATTTTTAAAGCAATTATTTTTTTTTAAATCTATATTCCAGCAACAAACTCAATCAGGTTTCATGCCTCCTGGCAGACCAAAAAACTGGAGATCCAAAGCTTTCGAAGTGCTAGAATGTGCAGTTGCTCAACGAATAGAGGGAACTCGTGTGGATGAAAGAGAAGACAATAAACTGTGGCTGATAAGATACTTGGAGCTAACTCGGCAGTTGATATTAGAGGATCTAAGGGTTGTAAAGACACTCTGTGTTCCCTGCTTTCCTCCGCATTATGATATTGTCAATAAATATGTTGACATGTACCATACATGTTTGTCTACAAGTGTAAGTTTTGAATATTTTTTTTAATTTGTTTATGGTAGATTTAAAGGAGTCTTCTTCTATTAGCATGGGCATGGGCAGAAAACAATATCATAAGCAAAGTTTATGAAGATAACTTATGTTTTCTTAATACTACCTTATTTATATATTCCCAAGTTTAAATATGGCATAGCAAAAATGTGTATAAACAAAGGGCTTATCTTGTTATATATTATTGCTATGGGTGGGCGTAACTTGTCATTGGATGACTGTAAATTTCGCCTTATCAAAACTTGTTATTAAAAAATCATACAAAACATATCACAAAGTATTAGACCAGACATTAACGTAAGTAATCTAATTAACCTTCCCACATTGTCAAGTGCTTTTTAGTTATTATTAGCGCATGAATTTCGTTCTTTACAACTTGTGTTTTAAGGTCTAAAATTGTTTGCATGTCTTAAGAACTTGTGCAATCCTGGATTAGTTTATGGGTACAAGTTTCTGACATAATTGGTTGGTTGATATGTCTTTATTAAAAACTTTTAGCTTCAAGACCTGGTTCAAAACGGTTTGGAAGGCAATGAATATGTGACATTGTTGTCATGGATTTTGAACACTTATCCGGGACTTGAATTAATGGGCAGTGAGGAATTGAAAATCGATGTATCCGTTTTACCTCCATTACTTAGTGAAGAAAGTATGCAGAAACTGCAAGAGGAATATTTACAAGTAATTAATTTTTGATATTTCTATCTCCGTATCGTAGAAGGTAGTAAACTAGTAGACGGCGCTTGATTTCGCTGCAGTCCAGATAACCATGCAAGAAGTTAAAACTTAAAATGTTTCAGATGTGTTGCCTATCTTTAATATGGACGCTAAGAAAGAGTTAATCTGTATGTATGAATGTCGAATGTTGTAGAAAATGGAGTGCAACTACATGGAGTGGATGGAGAAGACGCTGGAGGCGGAGCGCGCGGAGTGGGGCGGCGAGCGCGCGCCCGACGCGGAGCCGCACTCCGCCGCCTTCCACACGCACGCGCCCGTCATCATATTCCAGATGATAGACCAGAACTTGCAGGTACACCTCCATTTGCCTCCACTGGTGTTCATACGCCCTCACTTTCATTACCTAAATTGAAAATTGCATATTGTTACAATAATAAGAAATAACGATTTGTTTCATATTTTCCCCTCGGGTAATTCAACTTTCTTACATATTTTTTAAAGCGTTCAACTTTTATTATTTACTCCTTTTGAATTTTGTTTATTTTTAGGTGACGGAAACTATAAGTAAGGAGATAACGTTCAAAGCGTTATTGTTGAGTATTGACCAAGTGACCCGCTACGGGAACATGTATCGGGAGGGAGTTATTCAGTTTAAGGTGAATATAAGTTGTTTTCTCAGTATGGTGTAGGTAGTTTTAGACATATTAATGTAACTGTAACAACGTAATTAAATTAAACACACCGACTGATCCCGCCAGAATGACGCGATATTCCAATACGTCTGAATGACTGTCAAATAGGGACGGGACATATATGACAATGATCTAGTGTTGCGCCAATCCTCCAGAGCGGTACTGATTTTCTTGTTAACAACAATATATTGAGGGGTGAAAAGCTATTTGTTTCAACCGCCATGTTATGTGATATTGATTTATATGTATTCAAAATCAGCGAATTTTTGTGCGTCGTTAACCGGGTTACATAAAGATCAGAGCACTTTTGTGACGCTTGACACAAACAAAATGTAGGTGTCGTTTTTAAGAAGCCATGTATGAAGTATGAAGCGCTAAAAAATCAGCAGTTATTAATAGTCAGTGGATTGAATGAAGTATGCAGGATTATAGTAATTTTAATCTAGAACCGGTCTGAAAATCTTTCAATCAAAATTATTTTCAGGATTTGCTTTTATGTTTTTTTTTTCTAAAAATGAAAAGTTTAAATGGCTCTCCCGAACATTTAATCTAATAGCGCTTGAAACAAATAGCCTTTCACCTATCCTACGAATGTGTATACTTTAGAAAAGCCACTTCGCGGACCGGTCGCGCGTGGCGTACTTCACGCACCACATGATCACGATAGTGAACAACAGCGAGCAGCTGGCGCGGCTGGCGCAGCA